TTCCACTTAATCCATAGTCACTGTCTGGTGAACAACAGTACACAGTGCATGCCCAGACATATGGCTCCAGAGCCATTTCCCAGGGATTAGCCTGCTGAAGCACCATGGAGGGTTGTCACAATCCTTTATGCCTCCTTCAGCTACATGGTCAGTTTTTAAAAAATGTTTAGCCCGGCCGGGCATGGCTCAGCAGTTGAGCATCAACCTATGATCCAGGGGATCCAGGTTCAATTCCCGGTCAGGGCACAATGCCCAAGTTGCGGGCTCAATCCCCAGTGGGGTGCATGCAGGAGGCAGCCAATCAATGACTCTCTCATCATTGATGTTTCTATCTCTCTCTCCCTCTCTCTTTCTCTCTGAAATCAATAAAGATATTTTTAAAAAGAATAAAAAATGTTTATGTCTCCCTTCCTCTCTTTAATAGTTTCTGATTCTTTTTTGGTCAATTATTCCTGTTTAGTGATGTCTGTAACAAGAAAAAGTTGGCATGTTAAACATGACACAATAAGCAAATCATTATAACAAACCAGAGGGCCACCACAATGATCATCTTATCATTTTTCCTTATTACAAAAGCAGAACATGAAGAAAATCTAGAACATAGAGATATGTGATCAGAAGAAAAAGACAGCACCCAGCTCCCCCTCCAGAGGCAAGCACTGCTGGGATTTGCCCTTCAGAATCAGAAATCCAAAGCAAACGTGCAGGAAAAAAATCCAACCATTTTTAAAACAGTAACAGACACCAATCTTTTAGAAGGCTTTCATAAAGGATTGCAAAACTGCTTCACAGCCTACATGAATGACAAATGTCCCCAACTCTGACTTGGAACAGCCATATCAGTGCCATGCTTGACAGTTTCAGAGCAACTCACCAAGCCAAATAGGACAGGTGCTGAGAAGTGACCAATCTGGAGTCCCCACATTGTCCTGGAGGGAGAAGCCCTCATCCAAGGGGGGCTACAGGGCCCACACACTTTCCTCCCTGCTGTGCCCCACCTGGGAACACACCTGAGTGTCCCTCAATCCAAAGAGGCAGGGGCAGAGTCAAGGTCCTCCTTGTCACTTGGGGATGCCCTGCCACTTGCCTGTGGAGCAGCAGCAGAGCATTCCAGCCAACAGCAGAGTCACCATGGCCATCTCTCAAAGAGCCGTGCCTTCCTGCTAGAAATCCCGAAAGCTCGAGCAGAAGCTGACCATCCCCATCTCAGTCTCCTGGCCAGTATTCACAAGGCGCCCATTTGCACAAGCTCTGGAAATACAGGTGTGCCACTTACCCACCCAAGCCAGGGGCTAAGAGGGGGGTTACTGCTAGGGTAAGATGCTCTGGGTGTATCTGCTAGTCCATGTGGCCCCTGAATCTGTAGCCACAAACACACTCAGGGCTTTTCTGTTTTCCTTCTAGCACTTGTCAGTTTGGGTATTCCTCTTGTCTACAGGCTCTCCATACAAACTTGTGGAAGGAAACAGAGTGCCCTTCCTCCAGGAAGCCTTCCCTAATACCCTAAGGGTGCTGAGGTATTGGTACCTACCCCCTATCCCGGGCCTCCCTAAGCCCTACCTCAATTCCTCCCCCTCCAACCACAATCTCCCTAGGTTGTTGCTGCCTTGCTCCCTCCCCAACCCCTAAGTCCCTGAAAGTGGAGGCCAAATTTGTCCAGTCTCCTACTGTCACCCCAAGACCCAGCAGAATGCCTAGCCTAGAGATAGGACACAGAAACACTACCTGAATGAATGAGCACATCAGGAAATAAAGGAAGAGATGGAGGGCTTTTGGGGCTAGGGAGACCTCAGTCCAAATCCACATCCACTACTCTTGGCAGCAAACAGCTTAACCTTGCTCAGTTTCCCATGCTAACCTGAAACCCATGGAAAAGAGATGCCTGTTTTACGTGGTCCCGACTTTAGGTGACTACTGAAGGATTGAGCAAGACGGGGTCTGCAAGTTGTTCAGTCCCTAGCAGGCACACAGAGCTGTGCAAAAGCATACCTTCCTGTTTACCCCAACAACCCCTCAGGCCAGTGTTTAAGGCTGGTGTCCAATGAGGGGGATGCTAGGCTGACCCCTGCAGCTCCTGGCAGTAATTCCTCCTGGGTTTCGGCCCTCTGAGGTCCACTGGACAGGAAACTCGGGTGTGGTGGTGAGCCAGCCCTAGCACCAGGCCTGGCTCTGCTTCTGTGCAACTCCCCTCCCCCACCTTGGATCACATCACCACCACCAGGGCTGAACCTCTTCCTCGTTTGGTCCCTATACTAGATAGTCCTTCCAGCTTTGGCTAAAGACCCAGAGAGCTCTCAGGATAGAGATTTCCCTGACCTTGCTCTGAACAGATGCAGGCACGTTCCTTCAGGTTTACAGAGGATCTGCTTCACATCCAGTCCCAGTGAAGCTACCCATCAAAGGAGCTCAGTAAGCAGCAGGATGGGATACATGCACAGGCTTCCTGCAAATTCCTCAAGCAGAGGGTGGACTGTCAGCCCTCATTCTTTGATGGTGCTATGGAAAGAAAGGAGTCCAGGGTGGTATGTGTTCCCACGAAAGGCTCCCACACTCCACAGCTTAGAGAGGCTTCTCTCTTCAACATGTTTCTGTTGGATCAAGTGTGAATGATGGCTACATGTTTTCCCACAAGGTTCCAATTAGTGGGAGCAAAAATCTAGGGTTCATTTCTAAAGGTTCCCATACCCAGGACAACCAGTCTCAGGGAAAGGCACTGCCCAGGTTGTTCACAGTCCCCTCATGCCCACCCCAGCAGGGACACAAGCACACACACAAGGGAGGTCAGGAAGGAGACAAATGTCTTCACCAAGACCCTGTGGGAGCCTAGCTACCAGAGTCATCAGGGCCTCTGGGAAATCTCTCATCAGCAAGGTGGGAGGAGTGAGCATTTTAAACAGAATTTCATAAAGCATATGCTGTTACAGGGCCATCTTCCCCAGGGGCCAGAGAGGGAAAGCATGACAGGAGATGTGTCCACAAGGAGTGTAAGCAAAGTTGCAGCGTTCTGGAAGGTCAGAGTTGGCTGGATCCTTTGAGAGAGAGGTGAAACTAAAGCCCAGATAGAGGAGGGGCCTGGCCTAAGGCCACACAGTGGGTCAGTGGGGTAGCCAGGCCTCGAGATCATATCTCTTGTCCTCCAGGCCAGTTATGGCTCGCTGATGCTTCACCCAGGGACTAAATTATTCTCATTTAAGTGTGTAAAGAGAGAGGAATCGGACCCGAATAACCAAGATCCTAAACGGAGAACTCCGTTTGCAAAGGCCCACCAGCCTCAGAAATCCTAGCTCCCTCCTACTACAAGCACCTGCGGTGGGGAGAACTGGGGCTATAAGAATGTCATGGGGAGTGTTGGGGGGTACTGACAAAGTCCAATTCTCCATCTCCACTGGGACATGTGGCAAACAGTCCACAAGAAGAGAAACCCAAGGAACGTCAGCAAGGAACCGGATTACCACGCCGGCAAGAACAAGACAGGCCAAGATACGTGACCGTCTTGGGAGGGGTCCCACAAGGGCACTAGGAAGGTAACAATCGTAGGCCGCCAAAGCGTACTCTCCCCACCACTCTGGAGCAACCCCGCCACAAAATGCAGACCCCAGGGGAAGCCAGACCAGCGCCAACTTTGGCCCACCCCTTCACTGACAACGGAGGCAGCCAATCAACTCCGGTGCACAGACCCCCTCCCCGCCCC